CTGTTCTGTTTGCAAAACAGGACCACTGTTGTGAGAGTGATGAAGATGTAAATGTGGGGCTGTTGTCTGGGAGATCTGATTAACCTGTCACCTCGAGTTGCAACTTACATCACGCAGGCACAGTTGACAACATGCCCGGACTGACCTGCCCCAAACCAGACCACTGGTTTAATGCCAGTACAAACATCACCACCGCACCGCTAATTATTTATTACAACCTATTTATTTAAGATCTGATGCCACCTTCTCTGCACTGCACCCTACAATCTCTGTTTTCCAAAATCATGCACATCACAGACATGTGGCTGTGAAGTCAAATGAAAAAGTCATGTAATGACAAATTTTTTAGAACAATAACACATGGACACATGGCAGATTTGATAGATGGATGGGAACTTGTGTCTGTAAACACTTGAGTGAGTTATCTATGTCATGAGCAATCCCAGTGTGGTGCCACCACTTCTAAAACTTTTAGTAGACCTGTTTGTCTTTATCATGGACACGATACTGACAATCTTTCCAACTCCCATCTGGTACAGAGGGACCTCCATTGTCTCCGAGCTCCCTCTCTCGCCCCAGCACGGGAATCAGGGCGGGGTCTGTCAGAGACAACACAAAAGAAATGTCACCACTCTGAGAATGAAGTGCCAGCCGAGGAAGGTCTCTCTCCTTTCTCTGTGTCACTATGCATCTCTACAGGGGTGCAACTGGTAGCTGACAAGACTGTTGGGGTCATCCCTGGCTGGGCACAGCTTCAACTTCAGCTCTCTAGCCCCTGCTGGCCCTGAGTGACCCGTGGGTTTGATGACAGACTGGACCTTTTGTGTCGAAGCGGCCTGTCCAGGTGAGGACAACAGTGGATGACAATGGCAGGAAACATAAAGCCGATAGAGGCTGGGAGACAACCCTACGGGGTCATGGGTCAAACTGGACAGCTGAGTGATGAGTGCAGCTGTGAACACGTGGACCTCCTTCTCTGCCCTTTTAACTCTGCTTGCCATGTCAGCTGATGTTTCCTTTGTCTTAGGATAAAGACCTCACTAACTTTCAGCACACTGGAGAAAAGTAGTAAACACGGACAACAGATGTATCACGCCACAAATTCTGATTGTACAGCTATGATAATGACATTCATCCCAACCTGTACAGTGTTATAAGCTCCTTTTCAAGAGGTCACTAGAATACAATTACAACAGGTCACTTGTCAAAAATTATTTTTAAACTGTGAATTAGTTTATTTTTGAACTAAGGTAGAAACTAAATATAAAGAATGTTACTAAACATACAAGAAACTAGATATTCTCTAACTTTAACATAAAAAATCTACTGTTTAAAAGAGAGAAAACCTAGTTGTACGCATTTATTTATGTAGTCCATTATCACAGCAATCTTTGCAGTGTAAGTGTATGTCCATCATTGCTTATTCTCATTTGGTATGAATCGAAAATGCTGCTAATTTGCAGCAGTTTCAAGGATTCAGTAACAAATTTGTTCAGTCTTTGTTGTCCTCCATTCTATAATCCGAGGAGAACCGCAACTGTAGCATAAATAAAGAGGCCTATTTTAAACCTTGTAATGTATTACCACCCCAGTGCCTTCAAACTACACCCTGTTCACACATCCTGAGCTGTCCAACTGTTTCCAGTGCCAAAGGTCAATGACTGCCTACTCTCCTACTGGCCCACACTCAGAGATGGGACGACAGGGTTGCCAAGTCAGGCACAAACCCTGCTTTGGATCATAAACACCTCCGTCTGTCTACCCTCCTCTTTTCTACTCCACAGAGGTGAGTTAGGTTTTCACTCTGTTAATCTTTCACTTCAGGCCTTCTCGCTTTTACATTGGCCCACTGGAGAACATAGAAGGGGAATGAAAGAGGGGTAGTAAAGGATAAGAATGGATAAAAGAGCAGGAAGAAAAAGCCATAGAGAGGGCCAGATGGGCACCTTCACAGTCCATTTATCAAACCCAATGTGGCCCTCCCCTCCCCTCCCTACTGCTCTCATGTCCTAAACCCCCATGTAATTCTGTAATGATTTTCATTATCATATAATGACCTTACAAAGCCTACAGCAGTTTGCATGGTCAGTACAAAACTCGCAGCTGTTCCCTTCAGTATTTGCTTGCTGGCTGTGACAAAGCTTTTTGTTGTTGTTGTTGTTATTTTTTCTAATGCCCAGAGCAGTGACCTCTAGGTTTTGCAAGGTCAGCATGAGGTCACCTCATCCAGGATATTCAACAGTAGCCACAGTGTAAGCACACAGACTGAAGACAGCGTCTAAAAATGCATAATGAGCATTGACAGCAAGATAAAACAAAACAATTCTCTAAATATACTGCAGAAGACTGCAGGCTGAAGAATTTTCTGTGTATGTAGTTCCAGTGTGGATCCTTCATTACCTTTGTTAAACCAAAAACATTCTTGGTGCCACTGGGATGTGCCATTTTCTATCCTAATGGAGCTGCTCCCTAGAGGTTGCGTCTTGCTCTTCAATCTGCACTTCCTGTGTGGCATACTGAACTGCTCTGCTGCGGCACAGTCACCCACCCATATAATAATCCATCTATTTCCAGGGTACTCACGGGGCATTTACCAAAGGGACATGGAGGGCAGCATCTATCAAAGAATTCACCATGTGCATCAGGAAAACCCAGTTACCAGAAAAGCTCATAAGAATAAAAAAGCTCTCATAACTTCGTTGGCTCAGAGTGAATGAATGGACTGCTTCCACTAGCACGGTGAGAGCAGGCATCACTCACTCTGAGTGCCTATAAGTCAATGGTGAAGAACCACTGGTCACCGGCTCCAATTCCTCTTTCTTTCCTTCTTGCTTGTACTAAAAATGGCTCGCAGGCAGACAATGGCAGCTGGTAGGCCGAAGTTCCACAGCAAAGAATGCTACTTTAACTGGTGTTTTAGAAACAAAAGTCAGTGAGAAACTTAATCAATCAGCGCTGCTTGTTTATGTTTATGGGCCTCTAGCAAAAGTCATCAATCATGCTTCTTTTTTTTTTTTGTTCCTTTTTCCATTATATTTTTTGCAAGTATTATGTGCTGAATGGAAACCATGGAAACAAAAGGCAGTGTTATGATGAAAGCTTGCCTGTTGAATATTGTGTGGAAACCTAATTAGAACGCTAAATATAAAAAAGCAACAAAATGAATCAGCAAATTAATTTTAGTCCTATTTTAGTGAATGCTTTTATGAAAATAAATGATGGTTTGAATACATCTGACTGGAGTGCACTACAATTCCCTCACTCTGCGGCTTCTGTAATAAAGTGCTTCTTTAATTCAAAATAACGACTTTGCCTCTTAGTAGTATGCATGAAGAAATTAAAACTTTTTCATGCTCAACAAAGTCGAACAATCCCTGACCCTCATCAAATTGCTTATCAGTACCAGTACTTCCCACTTAACATTGCGCATAGCTATGTGTTTAGTTTTGTGAAAATGCTATCTGTTGACAGCCACTTGACAGCATGACCCCTGGCTTTTTTGTAAGAGAGGGTGGTGTAGTTTAGGGATAGACATAGAATGTGTGTAAGGGGAAGAAGAGGTATCAGGAGCAGCTGGAGTTCAAACATATTGTGTGGGACATGTGCCTTCCACCAAAACTAATCTAATCAGTCTTTCACTGCTGATAGAGTAAACGTCTGTCTGCTCTGCCGACAAGGGCTTAGCATTTCCTGTCCCAGCCAGTGATGCTGGTTGTCAGCATCTTAGGGTGGGCTGAGCAAAATGTAGGGTCAGACATTGTTAGCTGGTGGTAACATCACATTGTGGGTGGTGCGGGAGAACTGCGATGGTAGGGGACAGTTCTGATGTTCACTTGAGGCTGGGGGTGGCGAGATGGTTTCTAGCTTTCAGCACATGCCGCTGGAATGCACTATCAGAGCAGGCCCTACATCAGAGTTGTGAGGCACTGGGCGTTGACACAGCAAAGCAAGGTGTGTGGAAACAGCCTGTTTACAAGACTCATCTGGATGGGACAAATCTAAGGGTCAACTAGAGGGGACAATGCAAAACATAGAATAGAAGAATAGAGTGCCTTAGAAATATGAGGGCGTAAGCACAACAGGAGTTTAACATGAAGTTTTCAAAAGAAAATGGATTTGTAGCCTTTGAATTATCTTCCTGCCGCTTTGCTTTCTCTAAGGTTTAGTGAAATGTCTATTCTAACATATGGGTTCTTGTCCGCATGAAACTCTGAGGTCAAAACTATTGAAAGAGACAATAAAGAGTATAGCAATTGTGAATGTAGTGGTTGTGTGTATATGTAGTGTTTGTATGTGTCCGTGTATGTGCTGGCGGAGAGAGTAAATGGCTAAAACAAACAGCTAAAACACCACTGGTGCATGTGTGAGGCCCTTCTTCATCTGAATGGATGACCAACGTTCTAACCCCTGTGCTCTCCTTCTTTATCTGGAGGGAAGGAAGTGATTGGGCCTATCCAAGACACATGTGTCATTGTGATAACTGTGATAACTGCCAGGCCCGAGGACCTTAAACCAACACCAACCACGCCATTGCATATCTCTGGAAATCACACCGATTCACTGAAAATGAATGATCAATGCATATTGAAGCAATGTAGGCCTGATGTGTCACCTTTTGCAACTCGTTTTTATTTTGTTTGATGATGTGATCACAGTTAATAAATCTCTTAACTGAGAACTAGATATTGACACATTTTACTACTGCAACAACACTACACGAGCTGTAATAATAGCTCAGGGTTTGCAAGTGAAATGAGGTGAAATGAGATATTATGTTTGGTTTCTGCCTTGGTTTGTGTAATCTTGAGGAAATCACAGCAACATGCATGCATTACTTATATTTGATCAAATCAGTTTAGAAAATTAATAAACTTTATTATTGGAGTGTGATGGCATTTCCATTTTAAATAGGGACTCATAACTGATAGACTACATATCAACAGATGTTTGTTTTTTTGAAGATCAATGGAAGTAACAAAGTTGGTGGTATATTGTGTTACCTGTCTCTCCATGTCTGCCTTTGCTGGTGTCTGTCTGTCAAAGCAGACAGCAGGATCTCTGCCATCTCCCTCCTTCCTTCTTCTGCTTGGTCTTCCTCCTCCACTGCAGCCAGGAAAAGCATAGTCTGGATAAAAAACAGCAGCAGAAGTGGAAATAGGTGGTTCAAAATAGAACTGAATGGAAATATGTGAAACTTCAGTAGAAATGTGAAAACTTCAGTAGAAAGTGGACAGGTAGAGAAGCACCATTAAAAAGTGCCTTAAATAACAGTGGTTGTTTAAACCCCACTACAGTGATTTACTCTATTAAATTCTACCCTAAATACTAAACAGAAAACTGCAAAATTGGGTAGAAAGACCTGAAGTGAATCCTGGCGTGCTTGTGCTTCTATCCTTAGTTTAGAAATTGCACAGCTCTGAGCCAAGACTCAATTATACCATCCCTAGGATGACAGCATGCAGTAAGTCTAGTATAAAGTCAGTTTCACATCAGAGGATGGGCAAATTACACCCAATATTAGAGTGTGAGTCAATTAATCACGTCCTGCACAGCACAGTGTAATGTGTGAGTATCCCCCTGTTGAACATGAATTACAGGCTGGCTTAAAGTGTGACGTGGCACATCAGTGCTAATCGGAGACATCCCTGCAAACCTTCGCCTCCAAGTCCTCCGCAGCCTCTAAGCTGGTTGAGAAGGAGTCAAATGAAAAAGGATCTGGCAGCCCAAATTAAATGCAGTGCTGTCAGCCACACTCAAATCCCTCTTTCCCCTCACCGTCTCCCTCTTCTTCTCTACCCTTCACAGACTCTCTCCCTCTCTGAATATCCTTAAATGTCTCCCCCTCCTTTGCCAAGCCTCTGAGAAGTGATGGATCTGTAACTCTGACTGACTCTGACGCCTTGTTAAGAACAGTCTCTTCCTGTCACATCCACCAGTCAAGCACGTTCATTTCTTCCCATTAACAGTCACTCGCTTCCCCAGTCATCCAACCTTCTTTTCAAAAAACCCACTATGTAAGGGAACCTTCATTTCTTCCCCTCACCCTGTTTTTTAATCCCTTTCTGACAATACACCTGTCTGTCTTAATTCATGTGAAGATACGTTTGATTGTCTCTGTGTGTGTGTGTTTCCAAAGGAGAGCAGTAATATGCTTACTTTCTCTACAGCACACAGGACAGGTGTCAAAACATGTGGTGGTGTGTGACTGATTATACCTGACTCAGAGGAGACACCAAAGATTAAGGTGACCAGGAGGAGGCAGGGCCGGCTGTACTCCCTATGGAAACTGTGCCTTTCAGTTTGGATCAAACCCTGTCCTCCTGGGATGAGTGACAGGCTAAGAAAGTGCCAGAAAGTGTATTCAGACTGTATCACCATCTCAGCTGGTAGACATCACATTGCCATGCTGGCCGTGTAGCACAACGCTGAAGAGAAGTGATTCACAGTTGATCTGAAACTTGCTCTAAGGTGCTTCTAAGCTTGCTTCAACTCTTCCCAAAGCTGACTTTGGATCAAAATGAATAACAAGGAAAGACTGCACATCCATCCATCCTTATCTGCTTCCAACTGCCAGGGGTTGGAGCTTTCATAGGGCCACAGGCAGGGTACACCCTGGACAAGTCCAGCCTATCGTAGCCACATTATTTTCAAAATGCTAAATTATGTTGCATACACTTTACTCAAGTGAATCTTTGTTTTTTTCACCCAACTCAATAATTCCACTAAACACTACCTAAACAACCTCTGCTTTAGTTGGGGTGTGTATATATTTATGAGTGTGTATCGAAAGCTTCTATTTGTTCTCTACAAATTTTTGTGAGTACAGTGTAGATTTTTGTGAGTAGAGGTGTCCCTCTTATAATTTAAATCTGTGTTAGCAAGCCTCTTCCCCACAAAAATCGGTGAATGTCTGTTTGCATGGATAACTGTGTGCATGTATGATCTAGTGTTTAGAAGACCCAGTGCTGAGAGAGGCCTTCAGGTTTAGCCCCAGGCTGATCCCCGGGCCATTTAGACACCCTGCTGGTTGTTTACTGGTCAAGCCCAACCTCAGTCAGACTCAGCCAGATCACAGTCCTTTATCTCTGGGTCTGTGTTAGGACTAATCAGCCCCCTCTTTTCTTGTATTTACCCCTCGATGACAGTAGCTGTCCTCAGTCTACACCTCTCTCAGCCTGACGCTGACCACAGATGTCCCCCTGACCCAGGCCACATTACAAGGTGAATGAGAGGACAAGACGTTCCTTGGTACTCTTTTCATTGGTCCCCAGACCCCATATTCAACCCTGTCTATTTTACTAAAGTTAGGCATAAACATTTCCGGGCCTGTGCAGAGGTGGGGAAGATAAACAAACATGCAGCCAAGCTGAGGTGATATTTTGGTTAGTGGAGAGCCAGAGTGATGATAGTGTTCCAAGCGAAGGCTGGCTGGAGGGCAGCCTGGGGCAGCTCACTAACACCTCGAGCCAGGACTGTATCTTAACACCAACAAGCATCTGTCTAGTCTATCACATAAGGGCATGTCATTCATTCAACATAGAATAACACAATGGGAAGATTGTTGCTGCACATACAGCAATATGATTTAGATCCTTTATAATGCAACAGAGGAGCTGTGAGTGGTCGCATAAGAGCTAAGAAGCTGAAAGGCAAGAAGGTTAAAAAAAAGATGCATGCACAACTGAAAGTTTGCACTCCATAAACCAGACCTACTAGCTGACCACCAGAGTGTCTGAGAAACTCTTAACACCCAATGAAAATGCCTTAGCTGACTTTATCCCAGGACTTTCCGGGTACTCCAAGTACTCTTAAGCTCACTGGCACTCTCTTTTAGGGAACCTTTCATGTCTGCAGGCCACAAATGCTTCAATTCCAAAAAGAGCTCCCTTATTAACTTGTTTAAAAGACAGAGGTGAATTCTAGACGAGAACACCACCTAGATGATGACTAGATACCTAAAATAGGAAGGAGGTAAACAAACTCACAAGTAACACTAAACATTCCAGAAATTTGGCTGGTGGCTGGTGTTAATTTGCCACAACAGTGCCTCCCAGCCTAACTGCACCTCTGTCATACTGGCAACCTCCTTGCCACTAGCATGTGTAACAGCCCAGCAAAAAGCCAGCAGACTCCCCAGTGTTTCTGTTTGCCAACATCTCACTGTGCCCATATGGAGGCAAGAATGGAGATAACTAGTAATCCTACTGGTTGTGACTGTTAAGCCATCACTGTGGACTTTAAACAAGATCCGGTCTCTATTAAATAGTATTTCTATCATTTCAAAGGCTTTTTTATTGATTGACTCATATGTGAATACTCCACGTGAAAATTAGGAAAATAATGAAAAAATAAAGGCGGTGCGGTCTGGGTTTGAATCCAACGCCTGGCTGGTGGAGTTTGCATGTTCCTACTGTTGGTATTCCGGGTTCTCTCCGGGTACAAGATTAGGCTAGGTTATTGTCAATTCTAAATTGGCCATAGGTATTAATAACACTAAATTTGATAAGAGGAAGAGTATGGCTGGGTGAAAAAAAAAAAATATTTTTGTTGATAATTAACAGAAAGTGGTGGAACTCTTGCAAAGCTAAATGTTTCTGTTCAACAGGACAATGAGTCAGAGGTCTGCTAGTTTGAATTCTGAAAACGACTGACTTACAACTGATAATAGTGCCGGGGGATTATACTTGAGAAACATACTAATATTGTATAAAGGACAAAGATCTACCTTTTCAGACACACACAACAACAAGAAAGTTTAAAGTCAAAATTCATAATATAAATGTTGCTATATGCCAACATTTCTCCTTCTCGCGGCTGTATGTTACGTGTTCTTTTCTGTTCTCTCTCATTTGTCTTCTTTCAGATATTGTCCCCTTCCCTTGTTCATAAAAAGGTGTTTCTTTTTTTTTTTATTGTCAGTTTCTCTTGCAAGCCTCATCACTTTGACGCAAGTTATTTTAAAAAATGCATTAACATTAACGGCTCACACAAGCACACACACAAAACCACACACTTCCTTTTCTCTCAGCTGTTTAATTTTTACTGTCCCCTTCCCACACCAAATCCAGCGTAGCACTCCCGTTGCATGGTTAACACATTAGCAAATATATCAGGTTTTAAGATTTAACCCCTTTCTCCACATCTCCAGACACTCCATGGACTTTTGTGACAGTTTAAGTTCAGCTGCTCTGACACCTGATTTCATAGGCCCTAGCAATGAGAGTATGACAGACCCTTAGCTGCTTTCATCTCCCTCCCTACTCTAATACAAGAAACCAATATCACTTTGACCGCTGGTGGAAAAAGGCATTGAGCACCTTGCTCACAGGAATGGATAGTTTCTGGTCTCAGATGTAAACAACTGGGGAGCTGTGATCCTGGTAGGGCTCGCTCCAGTCTGGACAAGGGATCTGTGTATGTTTGCTGCATGCTACCGGCGAGTTACTTTGCACTGGAGGGGACTCTCCACCGGTGGAAAAATTATATTAGCCAAGGAAGAAATAAGCCCAGACCACATTCACTTTCCTGTGACATCACATTCAAAGTCATAAAAACTGTGTGTGTGCGTTAGTATGTGTGTGTATGTTTTTTTTTCCTTGCTTTGTGCCTACCGTCACACGATTACAGATGGCTCAAAATTGAGGCATACCTGAAATGAAATTTACTCAGTTTCCATTACATAAGATTGGTTGATAGGGTGTGTGTGTGTGTGTGTGTGTGTGTGTGTGTGTGTACGCACTTGTGTGAGAGTGAGAGAGAAGAATGAAAGGTGTCAACACTGTTGATCGGGGTTGCTAGTGAATAAAATGAGAAATGCTTTATGAAAATGTTCACTCAAGAATAATTTAAGGAAATCTTTATTTTGTATATTTCTGTCTTTTTAAATCATCTGAGCAACTGTTAACAGTTTATACAATTGAAACATTCACACTGGCGGATTCAAGGCTTTAAATTTACTCCCAATAAATTATTTGAAATCCTTTTGCAGACCTATAACAATAAAAAGACTGATATATTGCACCTTTTGTTTTCTATACAGTACACATTATGACTACTGCAATTTATTTTCTATGCCGAGATCTCTAAAACATTCAATTGAAACCTTAACAAGATTTATTTTTTTTG